TTTTATTTTTATGTTTTATTATCGTTAACTTCTCTCTAATTTATTGTATTATTTTTCTCCATTAAAAATTAAAAATACTTTGAATGTTTTTAATTATATAGAGTGAATTTAAATCTCCAAATTTAGATAGTCAAACTCACTCTCTATTTTAAAATGTTAATTTAAAAAATATCTTAAAACATACATTGACTCTTTAAAATATGAGTTTTTTTGACGATATTCTTGGTAATTTATTTCATAGTTATAACAATGTTGTGAATCACATCAAGTTGATAGATTCAATTAGTAAAATCATTTTATTTATTTATTTTCTGCTATTATTTAGTTCTATTGGAGTTATAACTTAGGGCCTGTTTGGTAGGAATTCTTTGTCAAAATCATTTTCATGGTTAACTAACCGTCGGGCACACAAGTAAATTATTTGATATTGCGATTGCATTAAGGGCCTGTTTGGTAGGAATTCTCATTTTCTATAGTAAATCAATTTTCATTTTCAACACACATTCTTCAATGAAATAATATTTTTCATCACATCAATAATTTTTTCTTCTTTTTCAACCACACATTTCCCATCACATCACTATTCAAAATCAATTCTTCCCCCCAAAAAATCCCTACCAAACAAGCTCTTAATCTATGTGGTATTAGGCGATTGACTAAATCAAATGTGAAATTAAATTACTTGCTTAATTATGCTTATTATTTAATATCATATTAGCGCCACATAAATTGAGATTATAATTTCGATAGGGTTAAATAGCATTACTCGTACTTTATATCAGTGTTCTAAAAGGCGTGTCGACAATGCGCCGCCTAAGCTCAATAAGCGGCAAAAACGCCAAGCCAAGTTGCTTGGAGCCTCATTTAGCGGTCAACGACCAATGTCTAGGCCCAATTATGCGTGCCTAATATTTTTAAAATTTTTTTTTTTTTACAATTTTTAAAGTTAAACCTTAAAATGTTGATTCACATTTAAAATTTCTCTTTTTGTTGGAAACTTTTGAAAAAATGTATAAAGTATCCATAAATATGTTTTAGATGTTTGATATGCATTATTTTTAATTATTAAATAATTTTTTGATTAATTAAAAATTAAAATAAGAAAATGTCTTTTTACGCATATCTCTCGTCTGATTCATAGCTTGGCCTCCACTCATAACCACACATTACAGATTGGACAAGTTGGATAGAATGAAAACCAAACATGAAATTGGTTGGGAAAAATATCAAATAAATCTGAGTTATTTTTTGGTTTTCCAATGAACTTTAAGACAATAATAAATGCTTCATCTGTAAGTTTAATGACTTTTCTTGTTTGTTGACTTTAAATGAGATAAATATTTTCAAAAGTTGGATGGTATTCTTCTCTTTTATCTCAATATTTCTCGTCAAAGACCTTGACAATGCTCAATGTATTATAATCTAACTTACACTATTTTATTTTACAAAAATTTCAATAATTTCACATAAACCGATATCGAAGAATAGTGTCTTCAACATTAAAAGATTATAGTCTTACAAACTTCAATATTTATGACTATCGTGAAGTAAAATGTAATATATTACTCTCTTAAAATTCGTAATTAACTTTGCAACTTAACGATATTCAATTATTTATTACAGATTACAAATTGAGCTAAATTAAAAATAAGTAAAAAGTTACTTTTAAGTATGTTTTTGTCAAAATAATTTTTCGACGGACCCGAGTGGTTGAATCGAGGAATGTTCTCGATTATTTGGCGTATTTTATGTATGCATTATCAAATAAGATTGAATAGTACAATAAATAATATTTTATTTTATTTTATTTTTTGCAATATCTTGTGCTATGCAATGTTCCCCACGTTAAGCTGTAAGCATAGGATTTGACATTATAATAAGAAAATTTTGATTTATTATTATTATTATTTACATTTTTCATACAATAATTTTTTTTTTCTAGGTATACAGCAATACACAAAAATCTGAATAATTTATAGGGAATTTTATAAAATATGCTCTGCATATAGGGTGTATTTAGAATTTGTACATCATATTATTTAAAATTACATTTTGCATACTAAATTTTACTATTTGTAACAAAAAACACATTTTCTATGAAAAATAGAAATATTATTAAACGTTCCATAATAAATTGCCACACACACTACAGTACATGTTGACCTCCGAATTTGATTGGAGTCATTGGACCCATCACATTAATTTTGCATTCACTCCTCTTCAAGCATATATTAGATGTGCGCTCGGTACGAATGTGTTAGACAAACAACATCGGAGCCTCTTAACAAGAACAAAAAGACGGGGGAGACTATGATCATACATGCTTACACGCTCAAGTCAGTAAAAAGAGGAGGACAATAATGTGTGTTATGTGCAAGCGTACACTTAGAGAAAAAAATATAATTTTGAGTCAAGTTTGTATTTTGAGAGCGAGTGAGAATATCAAATTGTTGATTATTCTCATAAGACACTAAGTTTGAATATTTATAAACAAAAGAAATGAATGGCGGCTCTTCGGATGACCTCATCCCAACTGTTGACTAGTCAAGTTCCATCACATCATTCGAATTGAGGACAAGTTTTTGGGGTTAACTAGCCTTCATGAGATCGCAACCCTTTGTCCCGGTCAGTGTAACACGTGTGTCGCTTAGATAATAAGGGCCATAATGACTTGATGTATCCTTACCTTCCTTAGACTTGTCACCGGCTATGTGGCATCGTGAATATCAATAAGTCTGCGATCAACACACTTTCTAGTGGGTAAAAGAATGTATGTACTCAACGGTCATTGGAGATTATATCACATCAATCATTTCTCACATAACTCCATAAATCAGAACTGTCGTTTTACATCAAGTCTAAGGTCGATCTATACTGCTTCGGTCATGGAGACCATATTATGGGCGTGTTCGGTAGAGATTAAAATTGGATTAAAATTTAAAAAATTAGCTGTTATTGTTGACTTTTATTAGACGAGTGGGACCCAATAACGACCATATTTTCAATTAAAATTGAATTTTAATCCTGGCCAAACATGCTCTATATCATTTAGTATTAAGAATTAATAAACCATCTTGTAGAGAAGAAAGTAACGAACCTAAATTAAGTTATCTATCTTTGAAGGCTTGATCGATGAGCGTTGAGCCATGCCTTCAACACCTCTTAAAGTAGTAGTTGACAAGGCGATAGGGTGTTCCTTCATCGCCTTGGGAAGGTAGGGTGTAACCTTGGAAAGCACTTAGGGATATCATTGCCTATCATGTAGGCAGGGGTGTACCTAATGTTTTACGTCATTTAACACTTTACATATCCTTTATTATTCTTTAAGCTTGTAATTTCTATTGCTCTTTCACCTAAAAAAATTAACTTTTATCTCTCACATCTATCTTTTCTCAAAAAATAAAATTTCAATTAATTAAATTATTTTCAATATGTTATATCTTGACATTTTTTATTTGATTTATAACACAGAACTATAAAATTTTATCAATAATATTGATATTTATCTCCTATTCTAGACGTTTCTCATAAAAAAATAATAATAAAAGAAAAAGAGCATAAATTAAAAAAAAAAATAATAAT